ATTCGAAATGACAAGACCATGCTTTGACTTGTGGAAAATTCAAATGTATTCAAAATATTGATCAATGAGTGGAGTTTATTTGAAAAGACCATTCAGCAAATAAGGCTTATTGGTCATATCACTTAACATCCAATCGTATTCGATGAACGCAGATGAGCTTTACTAATTTGAATCTCAAAGAGCATTCTCATGCAAATTTGAAGTGGCACAATCTCACGCACAACCGAAACAGTCACTAAAAATCTCTTGCAATTTAATCGTTTTATGCATGGGGATGCGTGGTATAAGCTGTTAATCGCAACTCGTTGTCGTGCGTTTACAACTATAGTTATAAACGCACTCCAACTCATGCGATTAACTATACTTGTATGTTGCCTGGAATTCTTGGAATCTACTGGAATTTCAAAAATCACATTTCCAGGCCTTAAGCTAGCGAGAAGGCTTTGATGACATTTTTGAATAAAGCATTCTCTTTCTGTTGTCTCATTCAGAACCGTAATTTAGTGGTTATGATTCAAAAGCCTAAGTATAGAGGGACAAGTTTGCACGAACTAGTCATTGTTTACATATATTGTAACTACCACATGTCAATCTGCAATTGCAAGAGGACACTGCAGAATTTCTGGGTGAAATTTACACCATACATTGTCCGTATCAAGTCCATTGAAATGTGTCCAAATAATCTACGACCTATTCTTTCAATTTCTTCACGTGTTGTTTTTTGTGTGGATCTGATGTCGCTCTTTACCCATAATCCATTGCTGGATAATCTGGATGGCGGACTACATAATATTGGTGAAAAGTCAAATATCTAGAGAAAGAAAAGTGATACACAAAAACTATAAATTGCATTCTCCTACATTTGTAGAGCTCGTTCCTTGGGGAGCATTGTGTTGTTTGGCTTGACTTCCCCTTTAAACTCGAGAAAAATGCAAAAACCAGTTTGGGATAATAAAACACTGCAGATTTGCTGCATTATTATAATGCACTAAGAATGGCCAAACTTATTAACCATTGATTATCATAGAACACAATAAGCGTGTCAAATAACAAATAATTTTAAGTGTGAGGGTGAAAATTGAAGGAAAAAATCTTTGAGTTTTCATTTTGAGTCTTGTACTGCATGAGCGTTCGGGAGACATGGTTTCCATTGTTATGTAAACGCACAACAAAGAAGAATACACTGACAAACATTACTGTCCAACTGCACATGCTGAGTGTTTACAAACAAGCTATTCTATCAAGTGTCTCTGATACAAGATCTAATAAAACTATTATCATGGTGAAACCAAATGGCATGTATGGTGTGTCTTGAACTGAACTACCTCGAACTGGCCTCAAATTCAAAGTCATCACCTCAGAGTTGTTTAGCGAGGATGCATGCTTTGCATTGGATGATGGGACTTGAGAGTGAAGTTCCCACTGACCGTTCTTGAAGAAACCACATCTAAACAGCTTTATCAATGTCATCATTGTCAATTAATTTCACACAATTTCATGTTCAGTCCGCCTCTTGGTCAACTTCGAAAACAACTTTTCTTAGCTTTTCTTCATTGTTTACCCGCCTGTGTATAGTGGCTAACCAACTGCTAGATCATGTTCAACCCTTGACTTGGTTTAAGCTTTCTTGACACAGTCAATCACTGCGAGTATTTTTACATGCAGGCTGACTAGATGTCTTTTGCTTAGACATGCTGCTCAGTTGAGAACTAGAAATTGAAGTGATGGATTCAAGTCTTTGTAGTGAGTTTTATAGAACTGTATCAAAGGGAAGTATGAGAAGTCGCAACTTGACACCCCTGTTGACACCTTTTGTCAGGGAGCCCTCACTCTTTATATCTCAGTACTTAAGTTTTCTCCTCCAGCTCTTTAACGGCCAATTAAATACACAATGCAATGAAACATTAGTTCTTCTACTTCAAAACTGTCCTATCAGCAAAATATAATAGAATTGGGGGGGGGGGGGTCATCCAACTACCTACAACTTAGCCGAAATCGTGACATACTGAGGCATGACTTTGCGAGAGATCACTGTACTTGAAGCAGTTTATTCCCAACATCGAGAATGTGGTTTTATAAGTTGTTTTTTTTTTCTCAAATTTTAATAGACTATTCATAAATTACATAATTTTTGGCCAAAAACAAACAAATTAACAAACACTGTCACAGACAACAATAATAGGTAAAACAAGAAACACAACAATTTTATAAGATTTTATGAATAACGACTCCTAGACTTTAATATTACCGTTAGTTTTGTAATAATATTCTCAGTTTCAACTTTTGGTTTGTCGTAATTCTCAATCTATGATTCAAGGTTGGCCGGTCACTCAGTTTGCTTGTTACACATAAATTCAGACCAGCTTTAAGTGCAACTGTATGTTTATTTTCTAGGGTGAGTGGGGTGACTCTGAGATTGATGAGAGAGCAGAGAAGAAGAGACGACAACAGTTTGTGGAGAATGTTGTCAAATCAAAAAGTGCGCAAATGAAAGTTTTACACAAAACATATCAGGTGAGTTGAGAACTGGTTAATATTGTTTGTATAACACTTTTTGATATTACTATATTGTGTGGGAACTGAGTAATACCGGTATTGTTTGTACCACTTCGTGGGAGAACTGTGGGTAATATTGTTTTTACCATATTGTGTGAGAACTGTGGTTAATATTGTTTATACCATATTGTGCGTGAACTGAGTAATCTTGTTTGTACCACTTTGTGTGTAAACTGTGGGTAATATAGTTTTTACCAAATTGTGTGAGAACTGTGGTTAATATTGTTTGTACCACATTCTGTGCGAACTGAGTAATATTGTTTGTACCATATTGTGCGCGAACTGAGTATTATTGTTTGTACCACTTTATGTGAGAACTGTGGGTAATATTGTTTTTACCAAATTGTGTGAGAACTGTGGTTAATATTGTTTGTACCATATTGTGTGAGAACTGAGTAATATTGTTTGTACCATATTGTGTGAAAACTGAGTAATATTGTTTGTACCACATTCTGTGCGAACTGAGTAATATTGTTTGTACCATATTGTGTGAGAACTGAGTAATATTGTTTGTACCATATTGTGTGAGAACTGAGTAATATTGTTTGTACCATATTGTGTGAGAACTGAGTAATATTGTTTGTACCATATTGTGTGAGAACTGAGTAATATTGTGTGAGAACTGAGTAATATTGTGTGAGAATTGAGTAATATTGTGTGGGAACTGAGTAATATTGTTTGTACCATATTGTGTGAGAACTGAGTAATATTGTGTGAGAACTGAGTAATATTGTGTGAGAACTGAGTAATATTGTGTGGGAACTGAGTAATATTGTTTACACCATATTGTGTGAGAACTGAGTAATATTGTGTGGGAACTGAGTAATATTGTTTGCACCATATTTTGTGAGAACTGAGTAATATTGTGTGGGAACTGAGTAATATTGTTTGCACCATATTGTGTGAGAACTGAGTAATATTGTGTGGGAACTGAGTAATATTGTTTGTACCATATTGTGTGAGAACTGAGTAATATTGTGTGGGAACTGAGTAATATTGTTTGTACCATATTGAACTATTTATATTGCCTATTGCAGGATATGGTTCAGCAGTTTTTGGTGCTACTTGCAGACCATCCAGATGAAAGTCTTCAACTGTTAGGTGTACGCCTAGATTTTAATGAGCATTACAATGCACAGGAACCCAGATTAAGATCATCCATGACTTACAGTCATAGTGCAAGAAAACCACCTCGAGATTAGTACATTGTGAACTGGTTACTTACAGTTTGAGTTTGTTTTTAGGGACTAAACTTGCAGCATTTCAAAATCTACAAACTTTTGCTTTATATCTGCAGTACAATGTACTTTAATCACTATTCCTCATTTGCTTTGTACCCTAAAGTATCTTTTTCAGAGGATATTAACATCTTTTTATAAACAGGCTCATTGTGTTGATTCCCACTGCCTCTCGGTGCTCCATTGTTGCGCCACCATATTTAAGGTGGGTGCATTCTCATGTAGGGTCTCCACTTTTCCCAGCCCACCCCCTACTATACATGTGTGAAAGTGTTTAATTATTTGAACGGCAAAGTCGGCTTTTGTCTCATTTCACAAAATAAACCTGCATTATTCTTTCCTATTTTGATCTGTACCTAATGGGAAATTATAGAAAAATATTATGGTTTGGTGGGAAAAATTGACATTCATGGGGTTAACACACTGTATTTGAACTTTATGGCACTTATGTTGAACATAATAAAAGAATCTGAAAGGAACTATGGAATATGATGTTGTAAATAATGTTGTACATTGTAATTGGAGATCTGCTATTTTAAAGTTAGATTTTTAGTTTTTGATAATTGAAAGTTGGCATCAGATTTATTTTTCACAAAAGGCAATGATGGAATTTTTTTTTTGAAGATAAATATGTTCGAGTCCATGATGTTTTTGAATATTCTATGCCATTCACAATCATTGATGAATATCATGTTTAGTCTGTATATTAAGAATGAAGGGATAGAATGTAACCATTTTATTTAGCTGCAAGAAATTCGATTTTATGATTTAACATTTCATGAAAGCCGATTTGACATTGTGTCTTCAGTGAAATTTTCCAACTTTTTTGTCTTGCAAAAATAAAATAGTTTACAGTTTGTGCCCAAATAGGGAAACTCTCATGGTATCAGGAATTAAGTTGCCAAGTTGATATTTTAAGAAGCAGTCATTGTCTGTAATTGGATACTTTATTCTTATATAAACACAAACTTATCATTTTTAAAATATTGTAGCTGTGTGTTTTATAATGAACAATTTTTATTTTCAGTGTTTTCTCCATTATGTCATTTGTGTATGTGCTGTATTTATTTATGAAGAAATTGAACTTTTTTGTTCGAGCCCCTTGCCAGTACTGATAATGTAGGTTTCCCACATTCTCATTCATCCAGAGCAATACCACTTATAAAATACAGTCAGGTTCCCTCAATCCTTGAAAATTTCAGAACAAACAACTTTCAGAGAAATGTACACATTTACCATTGAAGCATAACTGGGGTTCTCTTCAAAATTCACACACAGAGGACTGTCTCTAGCAAACAGGTTAGAAGATCTGGTTAAGGGGACATCCGCCCAACACACATCCATTTAATTTTAACAACGGGAATTGCTAATTTGAGATATTTAAACATGTTATAAACTGTTATCATTAGTAAATTATCTGTCCTTGGCTTTCTGACTTGCAAGGTTGAAGGAGCGTAATTCTGGTATGCTTTTCTGGGCTAGAGCTATTTAATCTAGGGGTAGGTGGACAGTGAGCAACATTTCCTTGTGAAACACTTAGAAATAAATAGGGATGGGTATATATCTAAACTATCATAAAAAGTGGTATACTTTCTAACAAGGTGATTACTTTTCAATTATAATTCACTGATTGATGCATCAGATACAACATATGCAGGAAAAAATCTGTTTTCAAAAAAAACGTCATACACCTTAGATACAATTCAAGCATCTTCGCCAGTCAAGGAATGTTTGTTTTGGGTCACCCATCCAAACTAACCCTTGGCAGATTGAATCACTACATTGTGTATAGGCAGCCAATCAGCTATCTTGTATTAATTAAAGTAGAGTGTGTTTTTTAAATGGTGGTCAGGTCAGATAACGCAGTTTTTCAAGATTAAAAAAAACATGCAATTGAGACATTACTACCTGAAAAAAAAGATGAGTTTGTTGCAACGAGGACAGGGAGTGGCAAATGACAAAAATTGTGCAACAGTTGAATGAATAATCAGTTGTGTAGCGTTTCTGAGATTTTCATTACATTGTATGCCACAAACAGCCTGCAACGTTGGCATCACAAATTTTGAAAAACTGGGTGAAAAAATGCAGCACAGTTTTTTTGGGTTTGGCAAACAACCCAAACACACTCTACCCGCACGATTACTAGAACAATGTTGAAGTAACCGTGCTACACGGCGCTATTGCCGCCATATTGTCACGGCGCAATGTTACACAGCGTCTGATTGGAAGCCTTCCCAACAGGCGCATCCACTTGGCCATTTGTTTACTAGTAACATAAAATACGCGTTTACCCAGGCTGATCCCGCATGGGTTGGTGGAGTCTGCACCAACAAACTGTGCGATTCGGACGATGCAATTCAAGATGAACAAGACAACCTTCACATAAACATACCATAAACATTTTATCAAATATACGTATGATAAAATAGTCAAAAAACGGAGAAATACTGATACATGGAAAAATGAATTTGGAGAGGAACTATATACAAAATAGCAAACAAATGATCCATAAAATTAAAAACAAAAAAGAGGACCATGCATAGGAAAGGTATTTACAAACGGGCAATGTAACATGAAGAAAAAAGAACTACAAACTATTGCAAACATGTTACAAAGAAACCCGTCGGACTTCCAGATCATTACTACACTAAGAAAAAAGACTCCAGGAAGTATGTGGAAGACGACCACGAGCTGAATAAACCAATCTCATTAACAGAAGTTGTGCAGGCGACAATAGCATTAAAAAATAACAAAGCAAGTCGACCAGACGGTATTCCAGGAGAGATGTTAAAATACTGAAACATACAAATTAAACAGGCATGTACTCTAAAACAAGAGTTTACCCAGGAATATGGAACAATAATGTTATTCTCCAAATACACAAGAAAGGAGACCAGATGGACACAAACAACTACCGCGTTATATCAGTTGGTAATGTCATAGCTAAAGTATTTAGTATAATCATAAACAACAGAATTGAAAATTATATAGAAAATAATAAGATTATTCAACCAAGCAGGATTCCGATGAAAACATCGAACAGTTGAACATATTCTGACTCTTCACACAATTATAAAGAAACAATGCAAGAAAGCATTGTACTACAAACTACTGCGTAACTACATCAACTGAAATGTATATAACATAATTAAGAACATATACACAAATATGGATTTTGTTGTAAAATTAAGTGATGTAATAACAGAACAAGTTAAACTGAGAATGAAGTTAAGCAAGGTTGTTCTCCGAGTCCAACCTTGTTCAACATCTTCATAAATGACTATATCCCAGGACAGAAATTGAAACAAATACACCAGAACTGGATGACAGAACTATCAATAGCCTATTGTATGCCGATGACATTGCACTACTACCAAAATCATATGAAGGACTACACACTGCAATAGAATTTCTCCATAAATACACTCCAGACTGGGGGGCTAAAAGTAAACACAAACAAAACACAAGTGATTATATTCAGGAATTCGGGATGCAAACCAGATACAAGGCGATTTACATGTGGCAATAAAGAAATAATAACTACAGGATTATACACGTATCTTGGGGTAACATTTAAGGCCAATGGACCAACAACCTCTACTACTGTCTCGACAGACTGACATACAAAGCTGCAAGAATCAATCAATCAATCAATCTATGAAATTTATATAGCGCCAGTATACAATACAACGTATTGTTCCGAGACGCTGTACTGTTAGTTGTTTGGTAAAAATGAGAGTTTTGAGATTCTTTCTAAAGGTATCTATTGTAGGTTTCTGACGCAATTATGCTCGCCCACCAGATGATGCTAGTCTGAAGTTGGGAGTATGCAAAAAGTATTTGGTTGAAAAGCGGAGTGTACGAGGAGTTGATTTGAAGTGAAGAATGTCAGATATATAACTTGGAGAAAGGCCATTCAGAGCTTTGTAGGGAGTGCACATAATTTTGAAAACAAGTCTGTGCAGTACTGGAAGCCGGTGATGTTTAAGGATATGTGTTATATGGTCACGTTTTTTCTTACGCATGACAATTCTGGTTGCTGTATTCTGTGCATGTTGAAGTGGTTTGATATGGTCTGATGGCGATCCATAGAGAAGTACATATCCATAGTCGAGTTTAGTACAGAGTAGTGCTTGAACAAGTATCTAATTTTTCGAAGGTGAAAAATATAGAACGACTTGTTGCAGCTATGTGTATTTTGAAGGTGATGTGGTGATCAAAGATGACTTCAATATTGCGTGCTGACTCTGCCAATTGGATTGTACTTGACCTAACAGAGGTGTGATTTATTTGGCGTGGCAGACGGCTGAATTTTGATCCTATAAGCAGCACTTTAGTTTTGTCATCATTAAGCTTTAATGCAGTCACACATATATTAAACAAACATGAACAGTATAATGATAAAGTGAAAATTGGAAATGTATTTTCTGATATGACGTCTATATTAGTAA